GCGAGCCCACCGACCCTGCCGCCCGCCTGGGGCTCCGCGCTCCCGCTTGCACGATGCGGGACTCCCCGGTCCTCCCCGGCGCTCCCGTCTGCCTCCCGATCCACTTTCCGGCCCGGACAGTTGTCGCCACCGCCGAGGCCAAGCAGAGCAACTTAGATGACCACGTTTAATAAAGTTGTGAAGTTGTGGGAGGAGGAGGAGGAGGTGGTTGTGGTGGTGTGGGAAGAGGAGGAGGAGGAGGAGGGGGGGCCAAATCTCTCCGAAGCTCCATCCCACCTCCCCTTCCCGCTCCGCTCCCCCCCCTCCAAGCAGCAAGAAGGCAAAAGAAAGGAAGAAGGATCACTTTTTTTTTTGGCCCAAAAAAAAAGGGGGGGTCGGAAAAGCGGATCGCTGCAGCGAAGCGGCACAAACCACCATGCAGCTGGTGTTCTGGGCAGTGGGATTAAGCACGCTGTTCCTGCAGGACTTCTTGAAAGGAGCCGGTGCGGCAGCTCGGAAGCAGGAGTTGCATCGGAGGCAAGGTAAGATGCTGGCAAGCGGAGCAGCCGCAGCAGCAGCAGCGCCGTGCTTTTCTAAAACAACAACAACAACAACAGCGGACCGGGGGGAGGGTGTTGTGGAAAACCTGCCCTTCCTTTCCCGAGGGCCACTTCTTTTGGACGCCTGGTGATGAGGATCGCAACCTTCTTGGCCCACTTGGCCCCCTGGCCTGCCCACCCACCCGGCCAACCCGATCAGCTCCACCTCCACATGCATGTATGCCTCAAGGTTTGGGAGTTTGCTTGCTCGGCGTGGCTCTGCCAGGACCTCACCCCCACACTTCCCAAAGAAACGGGGGGGGGCAGAACAGCCCCTGGTCCCCCCTGTCCACCCGTCCCCTTCTCTTGCTCCTTTTACTTTGCAGCTGACCACACGCAAACTTTAGGGGGACGAGGCACAACCCATTCCCCAGAGGGGAGTCCCCTCCCGCCACACTTCGGGTGGGCTGTTGAGAAGTTGGGGTGTCCTTGAGAAGTTGGGGTGTCCCGGGGGGGCGGCTTGGGGGCTTGTGTTTCTTTCTAGGGCATTATCAGTTTCAGTTTTATTAGCATTACACTCTTTAACACGTTCCTACCTGTGCGTTTCACAGTAGGTGAGGTTAAGGAGCTGTGTTTGTGGGGGCTCCTGAGTTTGCGGGGGGGGGGCGGCGCGCATTATTGCTGCTGCAACTGCTGCTGAGTGGGAAATAGGGTTTGTTTGCGGTGCTCGACTTGGTTACATAAGAGCTTGAAAAAAGGGTTATTCTCCATCCTTTGCAGGCAGTCTGCACTAAGTGAAATTATCAGCTTCCTTTTTATGCCTAGTACTCTGCTAATCTGAGCTGGGGGGGGGTTGGAAAAGCAAGGGAGACTTTAAATCCTTGAGCTGGATGAGCCGGCACACTGGACAAAGGATTTGCAGTCAGGGTTTTCCTGTGAGCAATTGGGGTCTTGCCCAAGTGGATGGCAAAGTAACCAGACTGGTGTTTTTTTTGGGGGGGGGAATGACTTTTAGTGGTTGCTTTCCCTACTGTTGCCCTCCAGGGTTAGAAGGGTAGCGTTAAACAGTGTCCACACACTCACTCGCTGGAGTGTCAATTCACAGGGATGTGTGTTAACTCTTCGCAGCTCAACGGCTGGAGACCCTGAGCGAGTACGAGATAGTGACTCCGACACGAGTGAATGAGTTTGGAGAACCCTTTCCTGCCAAGGTCCACTTTCAAAGAAAGAAGCGGAGCCTTCCTTTGGACATTGAGCCCTGGAGCCTGGACGCTACCTCCTCCTCCTCCTCTTCCTCTTCCTCCTCTTCCAATACCACCCAAGCACATTATAAGCTCTCAGCCTTTGGCCAACACTTCTTTTTCAACCTCACTGCCCACTCGGGATTTATTGCCCCTCTTTTCACTGTCAGCTTTCTTGGAGAACCCCGGGTTAACCAAACAAACTTTTACACCGAGGAACAAAGTGATGTTAAGCACTGTTTTTATAAAGGGCATGTCAATACGGATCCCCAGCATACGGCAGTCATCAGCCTCTGTTCTGGAATGGTAAGTGTTTGCCTTCCTCTTCACTGGATTCACCGTTCTTTTTTTTTTCCTAAGGACAGACCTTAAAAGCCCGTGCTTAAAAAAAAAAATCATCCCCCTTCACTTCTGCCGCTAGTGCTTCTTGGGTCTGTGGAGTCTCATTACACAACAGGAAACATCCATGCACAGTTTTCTTTGGGGACGGGTTGAGGGTGGATGGGTTGGTGGGGGGTTGAAGTAAAGATAAGACTTTAAAACCGAACCATATCCCTGTCTCTAAAAAAAAAACTGTTCTGTGCTGACGAATCTCAGACCTATCTATTCTTCAACCTCTCCCTTTCCCCACTCCCTTTTTCCAAAACACCAGGCAGGTTTTCGTAAAAGCCCAAACCCTTGAACATAAAACAACTCTCTCCTTTGCAACCAAAGTTAAGAAACCATAATTGAAGTCTGGCAGCAAAAGTAGGAGATCCACAATCAAAGGGCTCACTTTGACTGATGGGAGGGGGGGAGACCAGAGAGCTCCCTAAAACAAGCAGTAGTAATCAGGAAAGCCTAAATTTCCCTCCAAAGGTCATTTAAGCCAGGTATTTTTTTTTTCTGCACGCAACAGCAGTGTCCAGGGAGACCTCTGAGCAGTTGAACTCTGATGTGTGGGGCCGACTTTGCAGTGGGAGCGGAAGCAAAGAGGTGGGGAGGGGCGGGCGGGCGGCTTGAGGAGGATTTGAGAGAGAAAGACCAAACAAGGGTGGTGCTTTGAAGCCTTCCAGCCTCCTCCTTAAGGTGGAGGGAGAGCAAATGAATATTGCCTGTTTCTTGTCTTTCGCCTTCCGCTCTGTAAGGAGGGAACGTGTGTCCCCCGGAGAGGAGACTCCCTTGTCCTAGCGGACACTCAGTGAACTCTGGGTTCTAAACGCATTTTGAAACAAGTGAGGCCAATCTCTGGTTTTAAAGAGACTGAGCTTTGAGAAATGGGAAGCCCTGAGGCCCTTAGACTGGGGCTGCTTAAGGCCCTCCTCTTCAGCTTGCCCAGCCAAGGATGGCGTACATGGAGAAGAGTATTTCGGGCAGGCCGGGGAGGGGGGAAACCTTTTAAAACAACAAAATGGTCCTTCCCTTTCATTGCTCCTTTCCAGTTCAGAAGGCCTTGCCCTTCAAAGCGGACAAGAACATCTTTGGCTGCTAAACTGACTGTCTCCTGTCACTTTCGCTTCCAACTGAACAGAATCTGAGACCAAATTTGGGAGTTTGGTTTCTGCAGGGAATATGCCAGGCTGATGTTGCAAAGCATACTGAGAAAGGGGGTGGAAATGCTTCTGTTTCCCCCTCTCTGATTTCCCCCCCTCCCCACCCCCCAGTCTCGAGGTAGAGGTCCAGACAGCCAAGCTTAACTATACTTACCGGCCAGCCAGAACTGTCTTGTTTTGTATTCCCAATGACAAAGCCCTTCAGCAAAAAGGGGGGTGGGATAGGAAGTCCACTTCCTCTACCTCCCCACTACCCAACAACCATCTTTGCATCCTCCAAGGTGCTGCTCACGCAGTAGGTTATAGTAACCCTCTGTGCTTGTTGTTGTTGTTGTGATGTTCTGATGTTTGGTGGGCGGAGGCAGGGGAGGGGAAGGGAGGGAGGGAGAGAGAGAAGGCGGCTATCGCCCAAGGTTCTGTAGAGAGAACTGCCAGGGGGTGGGAATATGTTACGCCAGCCCTCTGGGCAAGCATAATACGTAGGAAAGGAGAACTTTCGCCCACTTTCTGACAGAGTGCGGCATGGCACCTTCTGACAGTGGAGGTCTACCTTAAGGGAATCCAGGAACTTCCCAGTTCTTTGGTTGCAGGGGAGGAGGAAGACTTAAGGTGGAAAGGAGAGGTGAATGTCAAGAGGCTTTATTTCAATATAGGCAAGAGTAAGGGGTTGGTGTTAGGCAAGAAGAGAAAGAGCAGGTTGCAACTTGAAAAAATTCCCATGGCTGGGAAATTGCCCTAGGTGGGCAGGGATCCTGCAGCAACTGTCCGACTAGCTTGTAGTTCCTGAGCTTGGGCTTGGAAGATACAGAGTGATTCTCTGAAGGAAATACTGTACATACAAAAAAAAATCACATCAGTGTTACTGTCTCAACCTCTTGTTGATCCTTGCCCCTTTTTCTTGGTTAGTTCTCACTAATTCTCACCTGCCTCCTCCAGTGGACTTCTAAATAACTCATAGTTTGTGAACTGGATTGCCTATGGAATGAATAAAAGCAGAATGCCTGACCACATCCCTTTTAACTGCTTGCTGCTTTGTTTAATTGCACCACTGTGGTCTACTAAATGTGCCTCTTCTGTAATTCTTAGAGAGACAATTTCTTTCTTTCTTTCTTTCTTTCTTTCTTTCTTTCTTTCTTTCTTTCTTTCTTTCTTTCTTTCTTTCTTTCTTTCTTTCTTCTTGCCTTCCCTTCCTTCAGTAAGTCTGTCAAGGATTCAAAGGGTACAATAGACAGATACGTGTCCACCTAATACTATAGGAGAAATGTCAGGGCCATTTCACACCTTATGCAGAGGCAAACTCAGCCAGTGCAGCCATTCTTAGATACTTAGGGAGCTGCAGCCATTCGTGGTTCCTGTATGATACACAGGTTTTCAAACACCTCGATGATATTTATTGAAGATATAAGATGTGGAGTGTTCTTGGATTAAAGGACCTTGTGAAGGAGAATGATACAAAGTACATTTCCTACACCCCAATGCCACACAGATATGGTATTTTGAGCAGAAGGGTTATGTGCAAAAGATTTATATATGAATTTTCGTTGCTTCTTTCCTCAGTCTTCAGCATGGTCCTATAAAGCATTATTGTGATGTATCTCTTATTCTTTCTCAGCTAGGCACATTTCGGTCTCATGACGGAGACTATTTTGTAGAGCCACTGATGTCACCTGACCAACAAGAGTATGAAGAAGAGCATAAAAAGCCACATGTGGTCTATAGACAAAATATACCTCCAACATTCTCTCCAAGAAACAAGCAGACCTGTGACACTTCAGGTACTTGATATTTGTGTCTTCCCAGGCCTTTGGCCTACATTTGTGGATGCAAAAACAGTTTCTCTATAAGGATTGGAACTCTGTGTCTGAGAGAGAGGAAAAAAACTGATTGTGAAGATGGTTTCTTGTTTTATTTGCCCCAGGAATTGCTTCCCAGAATGAATAGCTGGATACCATTCTACAGCTAAGATGGATTTGGGTGCTAACATTATTGATTAAGACAATAAGATAATATTTATTTAGACCCTTTCAGCAACTCCCTTTCATCACCTGTGTTTGAATTTTATTTTTGTTCCACACTACTCATCATGAGGAAGCTTGCCTTCACTTTTTCCTTCAAATTGCAGGGATTAAGTGATTTTGCACCTGAAGTGCAGTGCTTAGAGTCAAGAACAGTGAGTGTCTCATTTATTTATTTAAAATATTTTCATCCCACCTTTCTTCTCGAAAAGAACCCAAGGCAGCTTACAACATTGTAAGACAGTATTTAAAGTTGAAAACAATGAGTATGCAATGGTGGTGAACATCATTAAAACACAATTTTTAAAGCTAAGAATAAATGAGTATATCATTAAAAGGCAATCTTACATCATTAAAAGGCAATATTAAAGTGAAGACCAAGAAGGATACAAATATATATATTTAAAAACAATAAATGCCACTCTGAGAAATGGAAAACACAAGTAGTACTAAAACTCCAGTTAAAGCAGTAATGCTATCAAACACAGGTAGCAAGTTACTGAGGGAATGCTTGCCTGAAGAGAAAGGACTTTGCCTGCTTGTGGAAGGACACCAAAGATGAGGCCAGTCTGACTTCCTGTGGGAGGGAGTTCCAAAGTCTGGGAGCAGCCTCTTTCCTGTGTCCCCATCAGATGCACCTGTGAAGGTGTCGAGACTGAGAGAAAGGCCTCTCTGGATGATTTTAACACCCGAGCTGGCTCATAATGGGAAACACAGTGTTTGAGATAGCTTGGACCGAAGCCATTTCGGGCTGTAGAGGTTAGAACCAGCACTTTGAATTATGCCTGGAAACTGATTGGAAGCCAGTGGAGCTGCTGTAACAGGAGGATTAAGTGATCCCTGTAAGCAGTCCCAGACAGCAGTTTGGATCCACTCTTATTACCCCCCCCTTCTTTTACAACTAAAGCTTTAACTCATATCTTGTTCAAATTAATGATGAATCCACATTGTAGGGTCTATCATGGTGCAATAACTGATCTGGGTGAGGAAATGCTGCGTGCAGGACAAGACACTGGGAACTTTCCCCTTGATTGGGAACACTTTGAAAAATCAGGGCTAGTGGATGCTGTTCTCTGCAGATTGTTGTTGTTCACCTGAGGAGAGTGAAGATGGGAGGGGACAGTTCTAGCCTGCTTCCTCCCCTCATGCATCCAGGTCTACTCTGTCTTGTAGGCTTAAGCATATAATACATATGTGGGATTACTGCCACACAGCTTTGGAGCCAGAGATTCCAGCCACCGTGTTTGCTGTTAATATTCTTTTGAAGCCACATCCAGTCATATATCAGCAGAGTTCTGCTCCTCTCTGGGGACGGTCGCCTTTTATATTTCCTTTCTGCAGGCTCTCACATCTGTCAAAAGTCTCCTCCAGGGGTTACCCGCAGCGGCTCCATGGTGAGCAGCAGGTGTGTGGAGGCAGCATCGCCTCACTCCCTGAATTGCTCATAGAAACAGAGAACTTATCTGTGGCAGAATTTAATAGGACATCATCCCCACCCTCCTTTTCAGTTTAGCTCATTAGCTGCCCAAAAGTGTAGGATGGGTATTTTGTGAGCTTTTACTCTGAAATGCCCTAGTTTGGCTCCCTTACTAACTAGTTTGTACAATATTTTGCCCATGAAAGGCTTTCGGGTGAAAATGTCATTTGGGGGAGAAACAGAATGCCCTCTGAAAATAACTAAAAACAGTTCTTTGGGTCTTCTTCTTTATTTTTTCACAACTACTTTTATTTCCTACCCCTGCTACTACAGGGGTTTGTGTGTGTGTGTGTTTGTGTTTTGCTTCTCACACTTCACTCCCAAATTAGTCTAGGGACTGAATATAGAGTGGTGGGTTGGACTCCCCACACCGTGCACACATCGAAATGCTATAGGAGATGGCCAGAGGCAGTGCAGGCTAGCTTGGCTCCTACTAACATAGCTGCCTGTCACATTTTCCACTGGCTGTCCAATCACTGGGCCTGTGAAGTTTTACTTTTGCATATGTCAACAAATGTGCGTGGAGTGAGCCTGGCCAATCAGAATACCCCTGGTGTGGAGAAGCTTTATCAGAATATACAGATAAAATTGTAGCGCCAAGCGGGCTGGTGGGAGGCATGGCCAGAATTTGTGTTGCCGGCACATGATCAGCCAGGGTAAAACTGCTCCTACATGTTATCCTATATAACATGTAACCACCTCATGTGCTTTAAATGTACAAGGGGTTTGTCTGAACAATCCTACTAGAAAAAGCAGTTAGACACATAGCTAATCTGGCTCCATGGGGATATCGCTAATGGCCAATGAACTGATCATTTGCCTTCATTATGGTGTTATTATGAACTTCCCATTTCTCATTATGTGGTACAGGACACTGAGCCGCTGTTCCCATTTATCCTGTACCTTGCTGAATTTGTATCTCTGCCTTACTGCTTTGTGTTCTGTTCTAATCTTGAGCTGTCCCTAATTCTTCTTGCACTTTGGTGAATTAGTCCTTTACTTGTGCCACCCTTCCATCTTCTCTCATTCATTGCAGTGTGGTGTGAAGTAGGTGCTGCGTTGTTTCACAGCAGGAAGTAGGAGTCCCGTCCTAGTTGATGTATATTGGCTTTATGTCATAATCCTGAATATCACAAGGGTTGCAGTAAGAATAGTAAGGGGAAGAAGGAGGAGAGAGGGAGGTCTTCAAGTAGCCCCAAAGACGAATGGACAGCGTCAGCAAAGGCCATCTTTTCATGTTGTGTGGTGCTGCAGGGAGTGGGTGGGAATGCAGGAGAGAATGGTACCTCTCATAAGGCTTTTATTATTGTTTGTTCTTCCAAGGGATGCTGCTGGACTATGCCACTCTGGTTTCTCTCTTCCAGCTGTCTCTGCTCCCTTCTTTGAGATCAGATACAGGAGGCTCAGAACAGTTGGAAAGAAACATGGGAACTGGCACTATTCATCAGCAACCTTTGGAAGAATTGATCAACAGATCATGAAACTCACAAGACCAAAGGTAGTTGGAAGGGCCTTGAAAAGTTTTTTTTGGGGGGGCGGGATCCTCTTGTTTGCATGCTCTCTGTCACTCCCTCCTTCCTCTGATCTAGCTGTCCCTACACCTAGGAAAAATATATAACGATCCTGCCTTCTGAATAGTAGTCTCTCATTGTTTGGGTTTCTTTGTTAACCTGAAGGACAGTTTGACAATTTTCTCTTTACCGGAAAGTGTTATGAATGCCACCACCGAAAAACGTTTGCATCATCATTCAACTCTCCTGTGATTACCCAAGGACATATTGTTCTGCCGGTGACGCCTGCCTTGAAGAGCTAAGAGAGGCACACTGTAGGCAGTAGGCCCCTCTGCTCACGTTCTTCTGTTCTGACCTTTCTATTTGAGTGAGTGGCTTACTCCAAAAGTGAAGGGGGGTGGGTGGGGAAGGAACGGTGCCTATTGTCAGCTCCGTCACTGGACCTTGGCTTGCCACAGTCCTTTTGTATAGGCTGACTTCATCAGTCACAGCCGCCAGCCAACCAGAGAAAAAGAAATAATCTCATTGCCACTTTGAAACTCAGCTGTATTCTAGCAAAACCCTTGGGTTAGCTTTGGCAGTATTGCTGGAACAAACAGTCATTTACACACAGCAGCTCAGCAGTAAGGGTCTGAGTAGCTAAAAGGGCAAAATGGCCTATGTGGAAAATACCTTAAACCTGCCTTCATAGTAGTTAAAAGCCCTGTGCAGCAAAGAAGAGTTTTAGTATTCTGGAAAATTAAAATTCCGTAAATATTTCTTAAATGTGTATTTTTCAAGTCACTGATTCTTTCCCAACCTCCTACCAAAGGGGCATCATGGTTTGGTTGTTTGTTTTAGGAAGTTTGGGTTACCCATGCATTTTTATTTTATTTTATTTTATTGTACCTCCCTAGGGATGGAGAAACAACTCCAGGCCAGTTTCGAAGAGACAGCAGGAAAACAAAAATTAAATGTATTTTTATTAGTTAGGGAGGAAAAACATGATTTAGAAAGTAAACTTGAGGCCTCTGATTCTTCTCTTTGTCTCTTACAGTTAAAAGCTGATTATAACAGTTACTAATTAGGGTACTTGCCACACAAAAAATGCTTCTTAAGAACTTCCCAGAAGTGCCATACTTCATAAAATACTGTTGCTTTCTGGATAATTGTATGGAGCAAAAATGGCTACCCCCGTTTACTTATGTAATGTTTATTTTTTCTTTATAAGTGTCCCTGTGAGGCTGTTACGGATATTCTGTCTAAAGAAAGGTGGCTTTATGGTACATTTGGACAGCTATTGCTTTTATTGTGCAGTAACTAATAGCCACTTTAATAGGGTTCCAACCCATACAACGTCCACCATCTTGCAGATTGTGAGTAGTGTGGAAGAGTTGTAAAACAGCTTGTAGAAAGTGGAGTAATCTATATGTCTATGATATGTGCTGAGGACCAGTTGAAAATTAAAGGCATTTGCTTCTGAAAATTGGTGTCACCTTACTCATTGCTACCTTTTCCTGGCTGTTATGAATCTCTGACATCAGAATCTTTATCCTGTTGAATTTCCCATAAATCACACCTAAACACGAGCTGTGTGCAAAAGTCACGTTCTTCATCTTCCATAACTACTTCCTGCTTCCCCTTCCTCTTCTCTCCAAATAGCTTAATAAAACACTGCCTGGTTTTCATTCATACATCCCATTTCCCTGACTTGCTCTACATGGTCAGTTGGTTTGTCAAGCAGAAAACATGGGAGAGAATTGGCATATAAGGATAAGAAGGAATGGGTGAAA